GGGTTGACCTGCTGGAAAGTAGCTCTGCCGAGAAGGACCTGGGAGTGCTGGTGGACAACAAGTTAAACATGAGGCAGCAGTGTGCCCTTGTGGCCAAGAAGGCCAATGGTATCCTGGGTTGCATTAGGCAGAGTGTTGTCAGCAGGTGGAGGGAGGTGATCCTGCCCCTCTCCTCAGCCCTGGTGAGGCCTCACCTGGAGTACTGTGTCCAGTTCTGGGCTCCCCAGTACAAGAGAGACATGGCACTGCTGGAGAGAGTCCAGCAGAGGGCTACAAAGATGATGAAGGGCCTGGAGCATCTCTCCTCTGAAGAAAGGCTGAGAGAGCTGGGCTTGTTTAGCCTGGAGAAGAGAAGACTGAGAGGTGATCTCATCAATGCGTACAAATATCTAAAGGGAGGATGTCAAGAGGATAGGGCCAGACTCTCCCCATGGTGCCCAGTGACAGGACAAGAGGCAATGGGCAGAAACTGAAACACAGAAAGTTCCGTCTGAACCTGAGAAAAAACTTCTTTCCTGAGAGGGTGACAGAGCACTGGCACAGGTTGCCCAGAGAGGTGGTGGAGTCTCCTTGGAGATATTCAAAACCCACCTGGACACGATCCTGGGCAATGTACTCTAGATGACCCTGCCTGAGCAGGGGGGTTGGACTAGATGATGTTCAGAGGTCCTTTCCAACCTTGGCCATTCTGTGAAATATTAGGAAGAGGCAGTAAAAAAAGAGAAAAGATTGTGGACAGCGTGTGACAAGTGAAATAGCAGAGGACTTGTCCTGTGGTTAACTCTAACTAATAAATTCCTATTGTTGTTCTTTCTAATTTCCACCAAGTGTACAAGTCTCAGCTTTACCACACCAAATATTATCCAAATCATGACATTTCCAATTTCTTCCATAAATGACTTGTTTAAATTATAAGTTTTTAAGACAGAAGTTCCTCTGTTATTTGTGTAGAGAAAGTCTGGCTTAATATAATTTTGATTTTAGCTGGAATCCTCACTGTAAAAAGATTGAAAGAGCTTTCCAAAGGTTACTGTAAAAATGTGAACTGAGACTTTGGAGGGCAGTTTTTGTTTTCAGTTTTACCATCAGCCATTTTACTATGACCTTGGACAAGTCACTAAGGACCTGATTTACAGAGATTCTGAGCACCTAAAAATTCATTTGAAGTCAGCATCTTGGAAATATAGGTGCTCAGCACATCTGAAAATCAAGCCATTAATCACTCGGATTTAGTGTGATATAACCTTAAGTCATGCTAATTTTTTCCCATTGTAATGAAATTCCTCTTCAAACTTTTAAAAAGTTTAATAAGATACTAAGTTTTTTTTTTTTTTCCTTTCTTATATGGTCTCTATCTTACCATTCTTTCTCAATTTTATTTAAAAAATGATGCCAAACTGAGCAAGCTGCTTGCTTCCTCAAGCCATAGCCTGCTTACAAATACTATTATTCTTTCTCTCAGTGGATTTAAGTCCATGGCTTGTGGTATGTGTGTAAGAACACTTAGCACAGAGAAGGAAACATTGGGTTTAGTAGTGTTAATTGGATTAACTAGTGAGTGTTAATGAGAAAGATGCTCAGCTACCTAAAAGGAATTTTTAAATATGGCTGATAGGCAGTTTGAGGTCACAGACCTTAGACTGGAGAAAGCTAACATAGTTCTGTTCTTGACATTTCTCAAGCCATAAGAGTGGCATATAGCAAGCTAATTATATACTGTCATTTATATAAACTCACTCTTGACAGGTTATTAACGCTCATATAGTCAGCATTTTTACAGGGGCAAACTTCTTCCTGGGAGGTGAAAAGACTCACCGGAGAGCAGAAAGTATGTCAGTCGAACAGATTTAGGCAATGTTCAAAAAAAATCTCTTTTCTTAAATCTCTGCGTTATTAACCTCTGTTCATTCCTCTTACACATGTGGTAGTATGGCAGTACCTTCCAACTTAGATATAGTACAGGACCCAAGTGGAAAAGCTCTAGAAGATCTCTTGCAGCACTCTGGAGGTCTGGCTTGTAAGCAAATCCCAGAACCATGTTTCTGGAACAGGGGATGCTAAAGTCACAGAGCAGACGTTGCTACATAGCCATGGATGGAACCAGTTAGGCCATTCTGGAATTAGTTATATGGGTGCTATCCCTCCGAAATCTGGAGTATTGCATGTTTTCTCAAGTCAGATGAAAGATAGGCAAGTATTGTTAAAGACAGAGTTGTAAGAAACAACACAGCTCTGTTTCTTGTTGTTGTTGCTCCTAAGAGCTGACCAGCTGTTGCACTTGAGCTTTTCCACTTGCTGTCCTTCTAGGTCATGGCTCACTGTATGTCTTGCTTGTATACCATCCTAAATACTTGTATGTGCACTTCAGCATTCATTATCAGAAATGACTGTTCTGGGGAACTTACAGTATAAATGGATCTGTGACAGTAAACATTTTATCTGGCATGTCTTGATTTAAATGGAAATAAGAGTATTTCCGTTTAAAAAATGTTCTCTTTGTGTTTTAGAGAACAAATGTAACAGAGAGAGAGATAAAAGAAATAACAAGGGCTTCACATGATTTCCCCTTCAGTTAAACACCGTCTGTCCTGAGAGACATCAGGCAGATCAGCATCTTCCCCTTGAGAAAAGTATGTTGTCAACCTAGAATCTTTTTAAAAAACTCGGTCCTATAAAAAGATGGAGGGGACAGTAACAGAATACTCTCTCCTTTAGGAAAGAATCAAAGCAGAGGTAAAGTACTGGGACTAATTTGTTAAAGATCTTTTGTGGAATGAAGGGGAATTATTTTAGTGTATTTTCTTTATGAGTGTTCAGCTTAAGTCTGTGAACCCAACATGTGAGTTGCCTCCTAACTCCTGCCTGGTTTATGCTTCCTGAGCATGCCTGAGTCCATTTTCAGTTCCGCCCTCTCTGAATGCCAGCAGGGAGGTAGACACAGCGGTCAAAGAGACAAATCAGCAGCCCAATTAGTGTGGCCTGTCCAGAGCAATAGAGAACCTCACTCTTTGTGCCTTAAAGAATAGGGTGATGGGATTAAAAAAAAAAAAAAAAGTGCAGTTCTTATTTCTTGAATCCAATGTTTCTGTTATGTTTACATGTTTCTTTCTCTTCTGAGTCACTGTCATACAAATACTGCTTTAATTTTAAAGAAGAAATGATTATTACTAGACAAATAATTGAATTATGAGCTGATCTATTCTGTTGTAAAAACCCTGCTCTAAGTGTTCCCGGGTAGTCATTGCTCATTCTCCAACACTGTGTCCTCTTTACAGCTCTCTTGTATAGCCCCTTTCCAATATATCCAGCTTCTTCTGAACCAACTTCTATGTATTTCCTATCACAGAGGGAAAAATAATACTCTTTCTTTTTTTCTGTCTTACCTATTGAAATTATAAGCTCTTCAGAGAAAGGAACACCACCTCTTTTCTATACGTACAGGACCCAGCATAGTGGAGTACTGGTCCTGGCTGGAATCTCCAGAGGCTGCAAATGATAAGCAGTGATGATGGTGTTTGCTCATCTGTAATGAGTGAAATGATACTGTTTCTGAATACCCTCCACTGAACGTTAAGAAGATTCTGTTATGATGGAATATTTTATTACTTGCCTTAAAATATTTTTCTATCCTAGTATTCACATAAGAAACTGCTTGTCTCCACATTTCTTTTGGAGAATACTGACTAGATTGTTACCCATTTTTCAAAGAAATACAGTTTTAAGTTACTGAGTTTTCTGTTCTTTCAACATTTCCTTTCAGGCTTGGTTAGCTGAACTAGTTGTCTGTCCCTGGAAGCCTTCCTGTAAAGGCTGTCTGTGACCCTGACTAACACCCCTCCCCTGCCTTACTCCTTCCTGGTGAAGCAGACCTGATTAACAACTGATTTCAAAAAAAGGTGGAGGGAGCAGAGGAAGACGGAAGTCAAACTGTTCGTGCACCAGCAAATACTGTTGCTGCTGCTGCTTGCTTCTTATTCCTTTGAGAAATAAATGCTAGGACAGTCGAGTAGACTTCAGCCATCCAGAAAAAAGTTCAGGTTTGCTTTTATGAAGAGCTTTATCCTGCTCAGCAGCAGTTGAACTATAAATGTCATAAAAGTAGTAAAATAGATTTCTGCGTGCCCTGTAACTCAAACGCTATTCTATTTTATGAAAATAAAAAATATACATTTTATGTAAATACCTCATGTATAAGAAAGTATATAAATATAGCAAGATTTTATCTCTGTTTATCAGTGTTATACAAAGACTATGGACCAACTCTTCACCTTATGTAATTTGACTTATGTCTGTATTAACACGTGTAGTCAGAATTATTATTCGACAATTGGATGTTCAATGGAGTACCAGCTCCTCCACACCTTTTTTCAAGTTAAACTCATATTGAAGTGTAGGGGCATTTTGTATGAATTAGAATTCTGGCTCCGTTGTGCTTTTGTGAGTACTGGTGAAATAATTAAATCCTATGATATTAGCTTATCTTGTCAGTCTGCTTGAAGTGTTTCTATTATGCTCATCAGCTTAGCACCCCTAAGACTTTCTGTTATGATGGAAGTGAGGAAAGCTATCTAACTGCTACAGGGATAACCCTTTTTCAGACAAATTACTTACTCCACAACTGAATTGAAATTTTTGAGGCTACCTGTTACATCTCAAATGCTGCAGCATTGCACATCAGGTAAGGGAGAAATGGCAGAAGAAAAGTTGCAACTGCTTTTTCGCCGTGGTTTCCTGATGCTTTAGTGTAATGTATGGTGCGGTTTTGTGTGGTATACCTTTTAACATATCTGCTTGGCAAGCTCCATGTGTACGTTATGCCTCAAGGAAATTGATGCTTCTTCCTTCCAGTATAAATTACATAGGGTGCAATATATGCGTATGTGTACTCATCTATGCATGTGTGTGTGCATACTTTTTCAAAAATCTCAATCTCTCTACAATTCTAGTATTATGCAAAAAAATAGGAAAAGAAAAAAAAGGGATTTTCTTCCAATCTCCTTTGTTTAATTAAACTACCTTCAGTGCCTACTTACTGGCTCCTCACTGCCAGTACTGTGAAGTCCCGTACTGGGATTTGAGATTATGAAAACAACTGGCACCAGTGATGATTTCTTCTTGAACTGATTGTGTCTCTTTATAAATGTGATTCATTCAATCTCTAACCACCTTAACCCTGGGAATTTAAAATCCTTTCGGGGGAAATTCTGGGCCTGCTGTACAATTAAGGTTTTTCATCTCTTTTTTTCTTTCTTACAGCAGCTCACAAAAAGTCCTGGGAGATCAAATCCTGCCAGAACAGGCACTAATCCATTATATATTAAATTGGCTAGACTATGTTGAAATTATAAGCACTATTCCAAAAAATTGTTTACTTTCCAAAATGTGAGAGAATTGAACAAAGATTTCTCTTCCCATTTGTCTCACTGTGTAAAAAGATTGTGAAAACATATTTCTCACTGTGGAGCTTTTCTTTCTCCCCTCAATTAAGCATTTTACTTTTCTTCATCTTTACCACACAAATTTTGGCAATGCCAAGCTAGGTACCCGAGGCATTCGGTGTTCATCTAGCATTGTACTTGTGATGTCACCTGTGAATGAACTGTAGTTTTTAAGAAGGATCTTGCTGAATGCATGTGTACTAACATGTGGCGTCCTCAATGAGCTGCAAATGGATTAGTGACAATGAAAGATATGACGCTTTTTGGTCACGTGGGTTCATACAAGGTACAAACCAGGGGCATGCTGAAATACCGAGTTAGGTTGTTAGCGTCTGTGGTTAAGAGTTAAATCTCAGTAACTTATTTCTGTGTCACCTTGGTAAATTAAGCCTGATGACAGAGCCAGCTCAAGGCACTGGCAAATTGAGCAGCTGGCAAGAGGAAGCCAGTCACCTGTGTTTGCTTGTAAGTGGAGGCCAGGTTCCCACCTGTGACCCCGAAGCCTGCTGGTGCCTCCCTCGCTGCCAGGAGATGCACTGAAGTATGTGCAGTGACGGCAGCTTTTCCTGTGCAAAGAGGGAGGCATACGCAGTGTCGCAACATTTAATTTTGCCCGACGTGTGAGAAGTGTGAAGCGAGGTCTGATTGATGGCACTTATTATACTTGGGGATTTAGTAGAGCGGCTTTTTTTTTTTTTTTTTTTTTTGAAAATGTTTAAAATTAGCCTGGGCTCAATAGCTGGCCTGATCTTTCGGAGGTCGTAAGCCCTCAGCGCTGACATCACTGAGATCTGTGAGGTGAAAATCCAGACACTGAATTAGATAGATGTCTAAATGAAAGCTGGCAGCCTCAGAGCTGAGCATCAAGAGCCAGGTTCAGACAGTCTAAATGCCCCCGAACTGCCTTCAGCTAGTACTTCCTGTTGGCCAGCTCTAGGTAGCTGCCTGTGCAGAGACCTTTCAAGTAGGCAGCTATTTCTGCTCATT